CTTTTGTTTATGTTCTTCAAAATTGTCATATGTATTGTTCATGTTTTATTCAAATTGTGAATATGTTTTAGGTTTTAGTGTTGGATATGAATATGGATACAATCATATTAGGATGTTGTGTGTGTAGCATTAGTGTGCCATTCACATTAGTCTATTGATGTAAATTTCAGAAGTTGTTATGGATCATAGTTGAATGAAAGCTGATAGATTAGGTCCGGTGTATGAGAAAGGAGTTCTTGAATTCCTTGAATTCGCCGAAAAAATGTTCCCGACAATAATGGTATCTTTTAATGTCCTTGTGTTGTTTGCAGGAATATCAATAAATTGTCTAAGAAAGAAATATTATATCACATATGTTGTGATGGAATATGTCAAAATTATACAACATGGGCGTGGGATAAAGAAGTGGATAATAATCGAAATGCAATGTCACAAATGGATGAAGATGATGAATATCTGGATGATCGACTAGAAGATATGATCTGTGACATTGGATAATCGTCTTATATGAAAGCCCATATTTATGATATTTTATGTAGCGAAAAATATGCACCTTTATATCATGGGCGAACCAGTTTTACACGATTGTCTATGTTATTAAAATTGTTTAATTGAAGGCAAAAGATAAGTGGTCTGATAAAAGTTCATAGAATTGTTTGATTTGCTTAAACAAATGCTACTCGAAGATAATAATTTATCAGATCATTGTTATAAGGTCGAGAATATATTGAGTCCAATGGGTTTGGAGTATGTCAAAATATATACATTCCTTAATGATTGCATATTATACAGGAAAACGTGTGAAAACTTGGATCAATGTCTAGAATATGGTGAGTCACGCTACAAGTAGAAGAACAATGGTGATTACAATGACAATATTAGTAAGAAGCTTCCTCCTGCTAAAGTGTTATGGTACTTTCCAATAATTTCAATTTTCAAGAGACTTTTTGCTAATGCAAATGACGTAAAGAATATTAGATGGCATGCATATGAAAGAAAGTGTAATGGAAACATTCATTGTGTAGTTGATTCCTTATAATGGAAGAAAATTGATTCATTATTTCCGGATTTTGCTTTGAGCCAAGAAACCTTAGGCTTGGGCTTGCCACAGATGGAATGAACCTCTTTGGTAATCTGAGTACTAACCATTCTTCGCGGCCTGTTTTTCTCATGATTTATAACCTATTTCCTCGGTTGTGCATGAATCACAAGTATATGATATTAAGTATGATGATTTCTAGACATAGACAACCTGGAAACGACATAGATGTTTATCTAAGTCCATTAATTGAGGATTTAAAACTTTTATGGGATAAAGGTGTTGACATTGATGATGTATATTCTGGTGAAAAGTTTAAGATGCATGCAATATTATTTTTCACAATAAATTACTTTCCTGTATATGGTAATTTGATTGGACACAATGTCAAAGAACATAAAATGTGTCTTATATGTGAATCTAATACATGTTTTCACTAACTTGAGTTTAGAAAAAATACTGTTTACCTTGGGCATCAGAAATTTCTAAAATCCAATCATCCTTAACGTAGGTTATAGAAGGCTTTTAACAGAGAGTAGGAGTTTGAAATTGCACCTAAAACTTTATTCAGCAATAAAGTTTATCAACAACAAGAACACCTTATTGTTGTCTTTGAAAAAAAATGGTTCCATTGAGAAAAATATTTGGAAAAAGAGGTTTGTGTTCTTTGATCTTCTATATCGGTCTAGCCTCGATGTAAGATATTATCTTGATGTGATGTATGTCGAGAAAAATGTGTGTGATAGTTTGATAGGAACACTTCTATACATTCCAGACAAGACTAAAAATAATAAGAATTCCAGTTTAGATATGGTGGAGATGTGTATACGGTAACAGTTGGTTCCAAAAGATAGAGGAAAAAAATGTTATTAGCCTCTGGCATGTCACACTCTATCTAAAAAGTAAATATCAAATTTTCCCAAGGTTACTCTTCGAACACCAAGAAACTTGTATCAATGAAAGATCTCAAGTCGTTTAGCTTGAAATATCATGATTGTCATGTCTTTATGCAACAACTTCTACCAGTGGCTATCTGTGGCATCCTTCCAAAAAATATAAGAGTAATTATAACTAGATTGTGCTTATTGTTTAATGTTATATGTAAGAAAATTCTTAATTTCAAAAGATTAGATGAATTAGAAAATGAGGATGCAATAATATTATGACAATTGGAGATGTATTTTACTCCATCATTTTTTAATATTATGGTTCACTTGTTCATCTAGTCAGAGAAATAAGTTTTTGTGGTCCAGTTTATGTTAAGAAATATGGTTGGGCCTAAGTTAATCCTACAAAACCGGATTGTAAGGTGAGGATCGCACCCACTTATAAGCACATGTTCAAGCCATCTATTGTCTGATGTGGGACTCTTACCCCCCATTTCACACTCATGATTGGACATATGGAGTATGGAACTAAAGAGCCCCACCCTACAAGCCGGTTTTGTAGGTTTGAGTTAGGTCCAACCAAATTTTTTAATAATTTATTTAAGATGGATATATCTTATTAAGAGACACATGAAGATATTTAAAGGATACATAAAGAATCATCACTGGCTGGAAGCTTCGATCGTTGAAAGATACATCACAAAAGAAGCTGTTGAGTTTTATTCAAACTATTTGTCGGAAACAGAGTCTATTAGAATTCCAAAGTCTCGTCATATTGACATATTTGAAGGTACATATACTCAAGGTTTAAATGTTAAGTCAATGGATCATGATGTAGTACTTGAAACACATTTCTATATATTGAATAGTCTCAGTGTAGTTGAACCTTACATAGCAGAACATAAAATAGTTATAAAGGAAAAATACCCTCAAGTGAATGATAATTGGTTGTTGACACGACATAACAAGAAATTCCTAAGTTGGTTTAATAAGAGGGTTTCTAATGATGATGGTGCATTCGAGATAATTAAATGGTTGTCGTACATGCCAAAATTGACTGTGATAACTTGGACGACATATGACATTTCAAATTGTTCCTTTTATACAAAAGAAAAATATGATCATAGTACAATTCAAAATGGTGAGGTTATGATTGAGACCAAATCTATGTATTTCTCTAGTTCGAAAGATAAGAATTCTATTTTGGCAACCATTGCTTTCTATGGTGTCATTGAGGAGATTTTTTTAGATGGATTATGTTATTTTCAAAGTGTCTTTATTTAAATGCAAGTGGATTCCATATAACAATAGTGTACAAACTGATGAGTTAAGATTCATACGGGTTGACCTTGGCAAGACAACTTATAAGACCGAATCACTCATCATGGCTATTCAAGCAAAACATGTTTTTTATGTGACAGATCATGCAGACTTATTGAGGAGATGATTAATTATTATCAAAGAAAAACACATTCCTCATAGTGATGATGAAAATTTTGAGATTTCGTCCACTTCTTTTTACGGAACACAAGTGCCTAATTCATATGAAGAAGTTAATAGAGATGATATGCATGCTATTAGTAAGGATCATCAAGAAGGCATATGGAAAAATCAACAAGTAAGTATTTTATATTTTTCATTCATAATTTATTGTATGTTATAATTTCCAATGATGTTATTTAATTTCTAATAACAACTATTAATATTTGAAATTATAGGTGTTTAAAGTCAAGACACCAAAGGACCAAACACGAAGAAAACAAGATAGTATTATTTAATGTAATGATGTGTATATTTTTTTATTGTCTTGTCTGATTTTGGTTTTGATGTAATAATTTTTTATTTCTGATGAAACTGTGTCATTGATGTAATACAATTTTTGATCAAATTCAATTTACAAATGGGTGTATTATTGTTTATGGTATGATACGATTCATAAATATTGAGGTTAAAAAATTGGAAATTCTATAAAGTTGAAAATTTTATTTAAAAAAATAAATAATATCACAATAGTTTTTAATTCAATCGTTGTTATAAGTAGAGTGCTATCCAGAATAATAAAATCTAAGAATAGCATTGCTAGGATTTGAACCCAAGACCTCTGAGAGGTTTCACAAGGGTTGTTTCTTTCACCCACAATTATAAGTAACGCGCTATCTAATTTATAACTACATTTACATGTTCATTGTGGTAACTAGCATACATACAATCACACACGCTGCCTAACAACCGACATGCAACCGTCATTATATGTGTTTTTCATAGTAATCTCAAATCCTTTCTCATTTAATGACCACTTGTCGATCTCATATTAACTTGAGTGTTGGAGTTTTAATCTTCTATGTCAATCTCTTCTTCACTGCATCAGAAATTTTGAACCACCGTAACAAATTCTGAATCCATATTTTTCGATCAACTCTAATTCTAGTGTGGAACAATTACTTTGAATACAAACATAATAAAGTAAAGTACTTTATTTTAATAATGAACAGATACATATTTTAAATTCATTCATAAAACCCTTGAGTTCTAGGAGTTTAACCAACACTCTCTCACTAGCACTAGAGTCAATCAGATATATGTCTAATACTCATAAATCTAATATGACCATCATGCTTTTGCGGAGTAAGGAAGAGACTTTTTAAGTGAGAAAATAACATTAGAAAGTGTGTGTACTCTTCATATCTCCTCTTTCGATTATCATCTTCCAAATAAGGTGATGATAGATAAGTATGTGTTTGGATCGAAAATGAGATCTATGCTCTTTAGCATGTGGAATGACACCATAGTTATGAGCTATCAGTTATCACAATAGAAATCAATAAGGTCCACGATGCTAAAAACTCTACCAAATTTCATAATGAACTTCTTGATCTAAACAACTTCTTTTGCTACATTTGAGATAGCAATATACTTAGCATCGTGGTAGAATCAATGGCTTTTTCCCGCTTTGAACTCTTCCAGCCTACAACGCCACCATTTAAAAAAACACAATCAGATTAGGATCTGAAATCATTTTATGAAGAAACCGTTGCGAAGATCTTTTTATTAAAAGACCCTGTTTTTCTAATTCGCTAATGATTGTATGGAGAAGCTTGTTGAATCCTATATTTTCTCTTCTGAAGAAACCGTTGCAAAGATCTTTTCATTGAAAGACCAGGACCAGGGCTACACAATTGATGAGGAGATTGTACCATTATTGGTGTTGATGCCTCTGAACCTATTGGAGTCTTCACTGTTTCTTGCACTTTTTTGTTTGCCATCATTAAGATTGATTTGGCCTGCACAAAGAATCATATATATCATGTTGAAGAACAAGGCCACTAAAATGCCAAACATAAAATAAATAAAATTACCTGAAGCTCAGTGACATGAGTAACACACATCTTGCCATCGTAGAAAATAGTCAATGGTTGTTGCAGATTTTGCATTGAACTCATCCGATCACTATCTTTTTCTTCTTCAACCCTTTAATTAAGATAAAATATAACAAATAATTAATTCATCACCTAAATGTAAAAACTAAAACAAGAAATTAAATCGAAAATAAGGAACACAAAGAAAATAAAATTAGTTACATGTGATTGTTGTGATCGTTATCAGAACCATATTGAGGAAAAAGGCAGAGTTCTAAGTTGCAGTTCCTCCTCATGTTTTCAAGAGAAATATGAAGTGAAAATGTGAAAATGTTGAAGGTATAAAGATCAAGAAGAGTATCCTAAATATATAAAAGTTGAAGTTAGGCGCAGCTAGATTGGAAAAGATGAGGAAGTTGAGCGTGGAAACGGATAAGAGAAAGAGAAAAGGACAAACACTAAGGATCAAGTTGCGGTGTCTGCTGTTTTACAAATAGAATTAGAGCATGTGTTTAATTTACCAAAAGAGTGAAAGATCAAAGAATTGGATTAAAGCATGTTTTCAAGGGGGTTTAATACAAAATTTTGTCACGTGTTTGCGTACCGCACACCGCAACTATATGTATCACTCGTGTCGGCATCATGGGGTTTTGTAATAAATATTCTTTTCGGTAACATCTAAACTCTGTATTCTCTCCTTTATATATATATATATATATATATATATATATATATATATATATCAATTATTCAAAAAAAATATTCTTTATAATATAAAACGATTTTTTTTAAATAACCATATTTTTCAAAAAAAAAACTCAAATAACCACATTTTCAAAAATTTTATCAAAATGATCACTTTTCAAATAAAAAAATTTCGCCACACAGAGGAGGCACCACTCAGTGTGGCGCATGCACTCAAATTAAAGAGGAGGCGTCACACTGCAGGGCTTGTCCTACTCTGTAAAGTCATGCAGTGTGGCGCATGCATGTGCTTTTGAAAGGAGGCGCCACCCTCCTTGACTTGACAGTGTAATTGTAATTTTTTTTAAATAAAATAAAAACAAAACTAAAAATATTTTATATTAATATTTAATATTATACAACTGTTGGTTGAAGATTTTGATGATACAGTTCGAAACGAAGCAAGTTGGACGTTTCGTTGGAATAAAGCAAGATGTCATGTTTCGAAATGGTAGAAGCAGTGCTTCGAATGGGAATGTCAAAGCTCGGAGCTTCGAGTGACAGTTATGGGGATATATTCAAAGAAGTCTCGAAATGGTAACAAGGCTGTGTCCAAGAAATGAGTTCGAAGCGAAGAGTACCAAAACATTTGAAATTCAAACGCAAGCGGGATGTTCGAAATTTAAAATATATGCGCTGGAACATTCGAAGACGCGTGGAAGCTAGAGAGGGGCATTGCTTTGCATGTTCTGAACGTGGCAGAATCTTATAGCAAGACCGTTATGGTCGAAGTAGTATAAATAGAAGTCTTAGCGTTAGGATTTCGTGTGTCATATCTATTGTACAAAAATTCAGTAAACATTCAAAATACCACATGGCTAGGGAAACGAATGTTCGAACAATGTACGTATGATAACACCAAATGTTTATGATTTAATAAAACTCTTTATCATTTCCAGTTTTTTCCTCTATCTTCATGTCAATATCATTCAAAAGCCTTTACATTAAAGTATTTTCATTCGAAGTCTTTTACTGATTTCTTGCATTTAAATGTTTTTTTTCCATTTCAAATCCTTTACTTTCAGAAACTTTTGTATATTTCATGCCTTTATCTTCATGCTTTTATCATTCGAATACCTTTTTCGTTCAAAGTCATTTTACTGATTTCTTGCATTTAAACGCTTTCTTTATATTTAGAGTCTTTTACATTCCTGAGAATCTTTTACATTACATGCTTTTATACTTCGAAGTTATTTACTTGTCTTTTTGCAGTTTTACATGTCTTTACAATTGAACCTTTATTCATGCAATTTAGTTTCGCACGTATTTACTTGATCACGTCATTAGATCTTTAATAGAATAATCGAAGTAAGTTGAACACCTACATAACATTCTAAATACCAACCATGAATATCAGTTCTATAATGAGAATTATCCAAATGACCAATACACCATAGGATCAATCTAGCCGATCCTGCAAGTTACCAGAGAGATTAAATAACAATCATTAAGATTATTTGATAGTTTGGAGGACTAGCGGTTGTTTACCAGAAATAACTGTAAACAAATTGGCACACCCGGTGGGACCCGTCATTGGTCATTACGAAATTTAGAACAAAGTAAAAATTGTTGAGACATAACCATTGTAAAAGTACTCTCTGAGTGATAAGTTTGTTGTTTTATGAACCTTAGAAGTGGTAGAATAACCAATAGCAACCAACCCTTATCCAGAAGAAAACATTTAAACAAGATGTCTAATCCAGACAATCAACAAGGGGAACAAAATATCCCACATACAACAGGCACTAATATGTCCGCTTCGATGGGAACATCTAATGCGATCCCTTCGAACGCACAGTCTGTTGCATCCTCTACCAGTAGTGTATCCACTAATAGAACAAGTGGCATGTCAACTAACAGTTCGATCCTAGGAAATACTGGAACCATTGGTTACCCTGGGGGATTCGCCCCACCATCAGGGACACAAACCCATTTCGCTACCCCACTAACTAGACCACCCGGGTTCGATGCTAACAGACACATAAATTCCTCTTATGGAATGCCAACATCTTTTATGGCAGGCTTACACAATTCCACATCGAATTCATCACCACAATTAGGGTCTGGGTCTGGGGAAAATCAATTTATGACAAATAACCAAGGGTCATTGGGTTATAGGGCAATGCCTATCTTAACCATAGAAAATCAGTTGGCCTTTAGGCAATTAATGGATGACAGTAACCATAATATGATAGGAGTATTAGCACAAACTATGCAGGAGATCTTTGCTCCAATAGTACAAAATGTAACTGTGACAAACAGAGAAAACGCAGATAACATGAGTCGAATAGTAGATTTTTTCGCTCCCCCAGAAAGGCGTAGGCAGAATCAGGCGGGAGTTCAAGAAAACGTACCTATCATAGAACAAGTTGCTAACGACCCACCCTATAGACCAGCCAGAGAGGAGGTTAATTTGGGGGCAAGGGCACAAAGGTTAGAAGCCCCAATGATTCAAGGCCCACAAAGGGAAATTATGGAACCAGGGGCAAGGGTCGAAAGGCTAGAAGTCCCAGAGTTTCGAGAAGAACAACCTAGAGGAGTTGTCATGGTGGGTCGAAATCAAGATGCTGATGCAGTCGTTCACAGAATTCGAAATGATAACATCTTGGCAGAAAATAATTTAACCACCATGATAGAGAGAATCATGGCCCAAAATGGCCTCAACACAGGAATTAGAAGGCCAAATTATGCCTCTCCTATATTAGATTACATAATACACACTGATTTACCAAGGGGATATAAAGTCCCTAAGTTTACAAATTTTGCTGGGGATACCAATGAGTCAACAGTCGAACACATAGCCAGGTATCTAACCGAAGCAGGAGATATAGCCAATAATGAAGACCTTAGGATCAAATATTTCCCAAGTTCCCTAACTAAGAACGCTTTCACATGGTTTACCACTTTACCTCCTGGGTCCATAGATACTTGGGCTCTGTTGGAGAGATTATTCCATGAACAGTTCTACATGGGACAATCTAAAATAAGTCTGAAGGAACTAGCCAGTGTCAAGAGGAAGTTTACTGAACCCATAGATGATTATCTGAATAGATTCAGGCTCTTGAAATCTAGATGTTTTACAGTAGTTCCTAAACATGAGTTAGTCGAAATGGCTGCTGGCGGCCTGGATTACTCTATTCGAAAGAAATTAGACACTCAATACTTGAGGGATATGGCTCAATTAGCCGATAGGGTTCGACAGGTCGAAAGGCTAAAGGCCGAAAAGGCCAGAGTTTTTAAAAATAACAAGAAAGAAAGGGTCTCCTATGTTGGAACTGAGGAAACAGAAGATTATCCTGAATTCAAATTCGAAGAGGTCGAAATCGACCTCGCTGAATTAAAACAGGAACCACCTTACTCCTGCAAATTATTAGTTCCCACAAAAGGGAAAGAAATTGTTGAAAATGAGAAAAGTGACAAATTCCCAAAGAAGGTTTATACCTTCGATGTAACTAAGTGTGATCAGATTTTTGATTTACTTGTCAAAGATGGCCAACTCATTGTGCCATCAAATGTCAAAATACCTCCTTTAGATCAAAGGAAGAAAAGAGGATTTTGCAAGTATCATAGTTTCCTAGGCCACAAAACCTCACAGTGTTTTCTTTTCAGGGACCTAATTCAGAATGCAATTAAAGATGGCAGACTGAAATTCGCTGATAAAGCAAAAATGAAAGTAGATGAAGATCCTTTGGATGTCGCAGACACCAATTACTCCGAGCCTGTATGCATTGGAGAAATTAACGTGGTGGAAGCTGATCAAAATGACGCTCCAGTAGGAGAGAAAGGTACTGAAAATGAAAGCTGGGTGTTAGTCGAAGTCAACAAGGGGGTCACTGAAGACGTCCACAAGCAACCAGAGACTTCGATCGAAGCAGCATATTTAGCTGTTGCAAAAGAAATCCAGGCTACTTAAGGCCAGGAAAACCAAAAGCAAGAGTTGACACAGGTTACTGAAGGCCTGAGGCTAGAATTGGAGAAAGTCCAAATCACGAAGCCAACCTCCCCTCAGAAAGAAATATGGGATACTTTAGGGGAACCCAGTGGAAAGTTTGACTACTTGGTCAAATATTCTGCCCCAGAGAGTTCAAAAATCCAAATTGAAGATATAAAACCTACAGGATGGGGAGATGATGACACTAAGGGGGAGGATGTTGATGTAAACATGGTGGATATGGAGAGACCTCGTTCTGAAATGGAGGAGGTGGAGAGATACTTAGAAAAAGAAAAGTATAAAATGGAGGATAATTACGCTGGGGATGCTAGTCTTAAGTATTACCTCATGATGTGCCACAAAGGAGATACGGGAATGATACTATGCCCTAGGTGTAGCATCCTTTGCAACCAGAGAATTGCTGCAAACTTCGAGAGGGTACAAAGGGCACGAACTGGCATCAACTGGCGCCAGGATAACCAGTTATTCAGGTGCTATCCTAAAGCTGGAGAAAGTTTGTTGGAATTTTTGCTTCGCTGCTACAAAGGGGCAACCAAATGCTTGATATGCCCAAGGTGTTCCGCTGTGTATGATCAAAGCGTGGCCAGAGCCTTCAAAACA